GGAATGCGGCGGCCGCGGCGTTTGGGCCAAACAGGCGTCGCGCTTCGGCACCCCCGGGCGGGGCATTTGCATAGTGCACCCCGAAAACACGCTCCCGCCTCGGCCTCGCCGCTCTCTCTTCCCTTTTCTGGGTTTTTTTTTACCCAAAACCTGGGAAAAAAGGTGCGTCACAGCACCGCGGGGCTGCCGGCTGCCGGAGCTTGGGTTCCAATCGTGATCAAAGCGCTTCATTCAGTCCCTTTTCTTCATGAGTTTTGGTTCAAATCGGGGTCAAAGTGTTTTATTTAGTTTTTTTTTCCCCCCAGTTTTGGGTCAAATCATGATCAAAGAGCTTTATTTATTATTTTTGTCCTGAGTTTTGGCTCAAATTGCACACGAACTATTCAATTGAGTCCTTTTTTTTTCCTGAGTCTTGGTTCAAAGCACAAAAAAATCGCTTTATTTATTCATTTTTTTTCCTGAGTTCTAGTTCAAATCAAAATTGAAGCGTTTTATTGCTATTTTTTCCCCGAATTTTGGTTCCAACCACAATCAAATTGCTTTATTTCTCCATTTTTTTTCCCAAATTTTGTTTCAAATTGTATTCAAATCACTTTCTTTATTCCATTTTTTCCCTGAATTTTGGCTCAAATCATGATCAAAGCACTTTATTTACCCATTTTTTCATTTTTTTTTCCATTCCTCCATTTTTTTCCTCCCGAAATATTAACAGACACCCCAAAAATCTCCAAAATCCCCCCTAAAAAGTGACCCCTTCGGACGATTTCCCCCCTTCACCCCCACGCTGGGCCCACATCGAGCAGCATCGCCCCATTTTTTGGGAAGGAGAAACCATTTTTGGAGACTTTTATACCCTGGAACTTCATGTTTTCAACCCCGCGTTTGGTTTTGCCAGATTTTGGCTGGTTTTGCCCCATTTTTTTGGGGGGGGAGGCATCAGCAGCTGCGCTCACAGATCCAGGCCTCCTGGTTGGTGCAGGGGACGTCGTTCCAGAAGCCGTTGGGGAAGATGGTGGCACAGTCCTCGCCCTGCTGACCCACGTTGTTGGGCTCCCCGGGGCTCCAGAACCTGCCAGCGGGGGGGGAGGACGGCGTTTTGGGTGGGAAAACTCTCTTTTTGGGGATCTGTTGAGTTTTGGCAGGTGTTTTTAAGCAGGGGGGGCCAAGAGGAACATGGCTGCCCTGGGATGACTCAACAGCTCCTCAAAAAAAAACCTCCTCCCTGATTTTAAGATGGTAATTTCTGGGATTTTCCCGTTTTCCCGCCATTTAGGATGAGAAATGACTCTGCTTCAATCACAAGGTTTTTCCCCAAATCCCCCCAAAATGAGGAAATCCATTAAAATAAACACCTCAGGGTGTCGAGAAGCACCCGAGCAAGGTGGGAACTGACCGAGCTCCTTCCACCTTCCCACCCTGAAAGCAAAGTCAATTTTGGGGGAAAAAAGCCCCAAATTTGGCCCGGGGCTGGGGTGGCTCCTTTCACCTCCCCGCCCTGCCCCAGGATTTTTGAGGCTTTTTAAGGGCTAAATCACAGCGGGTGGTTGCGCTGAGGAGGTTCTGGAACAAAAAAGGGGCCAAGGGTGCAAAAAGAGGTGATTTTTTGGGGTAATTTACCCCAAAATGAGGCAAAAAACGTACGTAAAGGAGAGGGAGCGGCCGTCCACCCACTGCCAGGCGCCTTCGCTGTGCTCGTCCGTCAGCCCCAGCCAAAAGACCCGATTCTCCATGATGTGGTTTGCCAGAAATTTCTGGAAATGAGGGAAATAAAAGGGAATTAAGGGTGAGGAGGGGAAGCAAAGGTGCCAGCAGAGGGGTCGGCAGCATGGCTCAGCCTGGGGCCTTTGGGAGTTCTAAAGAATTTGGGGAATTTTGGAATATTTGGGGGGGGGGTTCTAAAAGGATTTTTTTTCTGGATTTGCCAAATAAATTCTGTTCTCTCTAAAGAATCTCTGGAACTTTGAAATAATTGGTGTCATTCCTAAATAATTTGGTCACTTTTGGACAATTCATGTCATCTGGAAATAAGTTCTGTCAATTCAAAATAAATTCTGGAATTTTGAAATAATTTCTGGAATTTCTAACTTCCGGAATTTTAAAATGACTCCTGGAATTTCTAAACTTCTGGAATTTCTAAATAAATTCTGGAATTTTAAAGGTAAATGATTGAAACTCAAAGTAATTTCTCTCATATCTAAACAATTTATGGAATCTCAAAGTAATTTCTGTAAGTTTTAAATAACCATGAATTTCTAACTAACTTCAGGAATTCCTAGGCAACTGCTGGAATTTCTAAGTAAATTCTGGAATTTCTAAATAGCTTCTGGAATTTACAGCTAATTTCTGGAGTTTCTAAATTCTGTCATCTCTAAATAATTTATGTAATCTCAAAATAATTTAGGTCATCTCTAAAGAATATAAATTTATTTAGATAAATAATTAGATTGATTTAAATCTAGATTTCGATAACTAAATTTAGATTTATTTAAATCTCTAAATAATTTGGGTCATCTCTAAGCAATTTATATAACCTCTAAATAACTTTTGGAATCCCTAAAGAAATTCCAGAATTTCAAATGGATTTCTGCAATTTCAAGAGAACTTCTGGAATTTTGGACCCCTTTTTGGAATTTTAAGGTGACTTCTGGAAATTTTGATCCATTTCTGGAATTTCAAGATAACTTCTGGGATTTGGCTCTGACCATGAGTTGGGGTCACCGTGGAGCCAGCCCCAGCTGAGCCCCCGACCCTCCAACCACTGCCCCACCCTCCTCTTTCCCCCCAAATCCCTCAAGTCACGCCAGACATTTTGGGGCAGATTGATGCAATTTGGCCAAATCTCTTCAGAACCAAGTGGGACCCTCAGCCTGTTGCACTTCCCCACTCCAGAGGCCATCGAGTCGCCCGTGCTCGCCCTCCAGCTTTCCCCCGGGGGAACTGGTGCCTGATATTCCTCTAAACTCATAAAATTTGGGCTTTTTTGGGGGTTTTAGAGCATTTCTCAGCTCACGTTCTCCTGCTCGGTGTCGACGACAGGCAGATGGGCGTTGAACTCGGCGCAGGAGCTTTTGGCCTCCAGCCAGGACTTGGTGGTGGTGGAGAAGAAATAGCAGGTTTTGGAGAACTGCTGCCAGCCGGGGGGACACCTGGTGCAGAAGATTTCTGGGGAGAAACGGGGTTAAAACCCCAGAGAAGCCCCGTGCAGGGGGCCCGGGGGGGTCCCGGGCTCGGCCGCTCACCGGAGAGGTTGCGCATCTCCTCCAGCGCCGCCGAGACGTTGCTCTGCTCCTGCCTCACCTCGGCCAGGTGCCTCTGCACCAGCTCCAGCGCGTCCCTCTCCTCTGCCCGGGGGAGGAAAGGAGGTTGAAATGGGGTAAAACCAGCCCAGTTTGGTCTCTCTTCCCCTTTTTT